TGCTTTTCAAGGCCATTCCTCTTTGAAGTGACCTTATATTGTCATCACCTTTGCTATTCGGAGTGTGGACCAGCTGCATCATCATCTCCAGGGCCTTGTTTGAAATGCAGAGCCCTAACCTCCCCCCAGACCTAGTGAATCAGCAGGTGCGTTTGAACAAGATCCCTTGTGATCTGTGTGCACAGTCAAGCTTGAGAAACACAGATCTAGTTCTATAGTTTCCAAAAACATGCTCTAAGGAGGTATAGGATCTGCAGGCCCCCTCACAGCTCAGGGAGAGCGTGTAAGCAGGGTCCCTCCCTCACAGTGACGGGAGACCTACTCTGCACAATCCTGTTTAGATTTCAAGGTAAGATTTTATTGAAACCAAGGGTCTGTGACAAACATTGTTTTCAATCAAAAAAGAAAAGAAATTGGAAAAACAATCTGATTTATTTTATTTTCCAAATGGAGAAACTGAGCAACAAAGAAAACACGTGACTTTGCCTAAGTTCTACGCTGAGAATTGATGGGTGCTAGTTAAGCCTTCTGATCCCAGCTTCTTTCTGCTACCCCGCTGTTCATCGAAGAGAGCAGCACAAAACACCAGAAATGTCCAGCCAACTGCTTGTCAAGTGCCATCCTGCACCACAGGTGTCTTCCAATTGGGCCCTTTTTCCTTTACACTTATGCCTAGTAACTTCCTTTCAAAGCTCATCTAACCCAACCAGAAGGACACTTTGCTTTGCTCTCTGAGCTTGAAGGGAAGTCTCCAGCTGCAGTTGTGTGTACACTGCTAACTGAGGGTACCCCGCAGGTTTATTTATGGATATTTCTGCTAATTATCTTGCCACAGACCATTGAGACAGAGCTGGATGACTGTTCAATTAATAGTACTGAAGGAGTAATTAGGGAAAATTCCTGATTGCACAGCCCACCCCAGCCGACATGTCAATGTGAACACTGACTTCTGAATGTGACTAATCACATACATAATTCTCCAACATAAAATTAGAGCTCACCCACGCATTACACCTACTAATGTTTTAAGGCATTACTTCCTGAATTTCTGTAATGAATTACACTACATTCTGGTTTGAATTTTTCAATTTCCGCATACTCCCAGCTCTGTTAGCAAGTGATCCTGTTTCCCCTCTCAGTTTCTGCAGTAATGTGAATTAGCTGTTGTAAAAAGAAGACAGATTTGGGCATGTCTAAGCCTTGAGAAAGACATATGAATGCCGGGTTGTGACCATGTTTTGTGGCAGAGTCAGGCACCAGATTTCTAGACCCCTTTGTCCTCTGGATAGACGTCTCATATTATAGCACCAACATTAAAGATTTTTCCATGAGAACCAACTATCTAGTCATTCCCTCACCATCAGAGAACTGTTCCCATCATTTTCATTTATAAGGAAACCTTTGAACAATGGAAGATTTATATAGAAAAGCAATGTCAGTTAGGACTAATCTCCCTTAAATTTAGAAATCCTAGAAGTTTATGGAGAGAAGCAGAAGGGACAGTGATCAGAAGAGCCACCATACAGAGGAATTTTTAAACCACTGTTGTTTTTTATTCCCTCATGACGTTAAAGTCAATTATCTCAGGCAAGCAGGGATAAGGATCCCATGAGTTGAGAGGACAAACCCCTAGGTGATATTTATAAGGGAGAAAACAAAGACTTAGAGAAATCAGATAATTTAAGGTCATATAATTGATTTGTGTGATATGTGAAAGTATTCTAGAAAGAAAGTAGAATTTTGTTGAAGTTATTACTCTTTGGTGTCTTTAGGGTAAAGGTGGAGATATCAAGGAAATGTAAAAGAATGTAAAATCAGATCAAATGTTTAAAACCCCAGTTGGATGATATTTGTTATATAGTTCATTATGAATTTTAATATATTATTGTCAAAAAAGGTCTTTTTTTTTTTTAATCAAGGCAAAAACAGTAGGAGTAAGTATACATTTTTTAGTGTTGCACAAATAAACGAGTAACCTTGAACACCTGTGTAGCTGGATTATATTTGTTCTGTTTTGTTCAACTACAGATTGTTTATTTGAAAACTATAGCAAGTCTTACCTTTTCATACTTCCCTCACCTTTCCAATCCACACTGGAAATCTCTTTCCCCCGAAGTGGTTTTTATCCCCCGTGGGAACCAGCAGCGGTGTACCGTGCCTTTCTGTGGTCATGTGTCCTTCAGCACAGCATCCAGCACCACACTAGACATTGCAGGTGTCTTGGAAATAATGTGCACGTTCTCTTTGCCCCAATACTTCCGCTTCCGGGAGTTTATAAAAGGAACTAGTGAGAGATATACTCATCAGGTGAGCAGCAAAGATATTCATTGTAACGTTACATATATTGTCAAAAAAAATCTGGAAAACCACCTCAAATGTCAAGTTGAATATATAAATCATGATTTAGTTATACATGATATACTCTACAGGCATTTAAAATAATTTTGTAGAAGGACGTTTATGGATTATTTTTTCAGTGTGTACTTAAGTGGGGAAAAGGAGCTCTTAACACAGTATGTGCAATGGTTTAACGTTCCTAGAAAGTTATATTCGTGGTGCGCACTGATAGATGAAGCAAATTATGCATGAGTGGTGGCATCTCTAGTGATGTCACATGTGGTGAGGGTACTTCTAGGCTTTCTCTATAACGACTTGTTCAAAAACTCAAGAGAACCGTTTTTGAGGCTGTGTCATTCAGAAAGTAAGTTAGTGTTATGTTAACAGAGGAAGCTTCACTGTCCACAATTTTTGTTCTTTGAGAACCTTGTGATGAGCTCGCAAAGAACATAATAAACATTAGCACTAATCCTGCAATCTTTTAGCCCAAGACAGAGAATTATTAATTTAGTATTTCTGGTTTACTAACAGAATACGGAAGTTGTTCATAATGGTATATTTTTAAGACTGAAATAAAAATAGAACCATGTTCACAAATTTCGGATGAACTGTATAGAAACCACTAAATTTTAAGGACTGAGTTCTTTAGTGGGGAGAATTAACTTTGGAAGTAGATGGATCTCATTTTAAATCTTGGCTCTGCCATTTGCTAGTTTTACAGGTTTGAGCAAAATATAAATGGTTGAGTTGTGTGTATCAAATGAGATCAGGTATGAAAGTCACCTAGCACAAAGCTTGAACTGCTGTTTGGAGCTTAATAAAATATCACTTTCAAAAGCATCATCATCAATGTCCTCGTCATCTGGGCTAGTTCACAGGGCTATACTTGCCAGCTGGACCCATAGGCCAGGTGGGCCTTGGAAAGGTGGAGATTTAGAACAAAGACTCAGTTGTGCTTTTTGACTCAAAGAAGAACTAGGGCAGTTGTGGCTTCAGAAGCCCATTTGTGAAGTTACGGAAACCAGAGTGGGGGTTCTAAATACTGAGTGCTGTGACATATTGGCATTTTCCAACAAACAGGTGTGACCATGAGTTACAGGTCCATTTGCCTAGAGATGCTTTGTATATTTCTACTGGTGATTTTTAGTTCCAAAAAAGACACACTACCTTGCTACCTAGCTCTCTCTTAGTTTTAACTTCTTCTTTTGGAAAATATGGATAATTCAGTTCCACTTACCCCATGGGACTTAATCAGCTAACACATATAAAGCATTCTGACCACATAATGTTACAGAAACAGCACATAATATTATTAGAAGGCACAATGTAATTACCTTGATTGGTATTTTTCCAGAAAGCAGAGCTAATACTCATTCCTACCTAATGTGAAAATTCTTCTGCAGCCATTAATCATTGGCATTGGAATGTAATTGGCAAATCTAGAGAGCTGCCAAATGCCAGGATGTCTACACTGATATTTAACAGTTTTCGTATTAAATGTCTTTAGATAGAATTAAAGTTCCTTCGATATTTATTATCTTATTTGCTCTCAAGTTGCAGGCACTCTAATAAATCGAGTAATAGTTTAGTATACGTGTGATGAAATGCATTTTAGTGTTTCTGGTGCTATAACTTAATGATTCATTTCTGTTTATAAATCACTAGAGGTTGTTTTTTTGTTTTGTTTTTTTTTATCCTCACCCGAGGACATTTTCCCATTTTTTTGTACAGACAGAGTGGGAGGGAGAGAGAGGAACAGAGAGAGAGAGAGAAACATCGATGTGAAAGGAACACATCGAGTGGCTGCCACCCGCACGACCGACCAGGACCGGGGACAAACTGCAACCGAGGTACATGCCCTTAGCGGGAACCGAATCTGGGTCTCTCCGGACCGCAGGCCGACGCTATAAATCACTAGAGGTTTTTTGATGAACAGAGTGCTGGGGAGACAGGCACTCCTTTGTCAATACAAACAACCTGTATTTTAGGACTAGTGTCTACATGGGCAATTGTTTAGTTCATAGGCTCAGGATGGTCCATGCCCTCTGATGCTGGATTCTGTTTACAGGGCATGACATCTGTTCATTTTCAAGCACAAAAGTCATATGTGTGAAGTCTCAGCTTAATAATTAATTTTTTCAGATATAAATGTATTCCTTTTAGTTTGTTTGCTAGAAATCTGGCACCTAATTCGAAGCACATTTCGACGTACTCTGCAAAATTTTATGGCCTGATGTTTTGAGTGAATTAAGAAATAAAATGAAGTGATGTCATTACTGACTTCCAGAGAAGAGAAAGTGTCAGCAGCTACATATTAAGAAGATTGTTTTATTACAGTTTATTTTTACCTAGTTATATATGGGCATTTATAGAATCTTTTAGACATAAATATGCATAAGGCATGAAGCTTGCCTCTGAGAAGCTCTCAATCCTGTGGGGTGGGGATGGCAAATGACTGTCACCTAAGAGATGCTGATTGAGCATAACGGAAATTCAGGCATGGAGCCTTGTGGGTATATAATTCCAGCTGTGGTGGTATTAAGAGATCACTTCGCTTACTAAATTTAATTCAGAAAGTAATCTCCACTATTTGGCAAATATATTCTTTTCTTCTGATGCAGTCATCACCCTGGTGTTCATTATTTTTTCATTTTCTCTTTTAGAGACGCCCAAGCAGATGGCCAGCGATGAAGTTTCGGAGAGGTTCTGGCCACCCTGCCTATGCTGAAGTTGAACCAGTAGGGGAGAAGGAAGGCTTCATTGTGTCAGAGCAGTGCTGAGGTTTCTGCACAGAAGGGCACCAGTGCTGGTTTACAGGTGTTAGGACTAAAATTTTGCCTATACCGTTAAGACGAACACACACACACACACACACACACACACACACACACACACACACAGCCCTAAGCTGCTGTAGCCTGAAGGAAACAAGATTTTTGGACAAGCCCAGCCCAGGAAGGGTAAAACAAAAAACAAACAATAAACAAAAAAACTAAAGCTGTACAAATTATCATTCACCACTGAACACAGAATTCCCTAGTGGGATGGCATCTGTAGTTCACCCAGAACATCTCCTGTGGACTTCCAGAATCATGGCGAGATTACAGTGCCATTGGCTTAGGTGCAGGGCTGCAAAAGGGATGGAGAACAAAAATACTAATAATAAAGCTTTAGTTCACAAGGGATCTACACCTTTGGTTCAGATCTTCTCTGGTGTCTCAAAGAGACTGTGTTCCAAAGCCCGAACCCGTCCCTGAAAAGAGCAATGACGAATGTCAAGATTGCTGAGAAAAATAGCTCACGCAGGAACAAAAGCAAACACAAAATGAGAGATTTTCTCTCTTTTCATCAGATGCCTGGCCAAAGGATTGTATTTTCCTGGTCTAGATCCACCTGTTCCAACAAGCTCATTACTTTGTAGGATGAACCTTTATCTTCACAGGAGGTTTCGCCCGTGCTTCCCCTTCCTTGTTAAGGAGCACCCTTTCTCCGAGCCGCGACAGAATTTCCAAACTGTTAGCGAAGGACGAGGCAAGAGGGAGCAGGCAACGAGGCTTCCCATTCTCGCTCAGAGTAAAACTTCTGGTGTGCTCGCCTCCTTCTCCCAACTGTGAAGTCCTGGGAAGCCACAGTCTCCCTTGGCTGGAGGAAACAAAAGGATGACTCGTTCCTTAATCGTTTTTGAAACAAAAATGTTAAGGAATGCTAAGTTATATGGGTATTTTTTTTTTTTTCCACTTTTTGCCATGTCAGTACTCAAGGCCCATTTCATTGTGGATTCCTTTCTAAGATGCCATTCAAGTCAGCATAGCCCTGGTGATAAAAAGAATGAAAGAACCCTGCTGAATCACACAGTAATTTTCTTTAAAGCACATAGTAGTTACATAAATATATATAAATCTATTTTTGTTTATAACTAACACAAGGCAGGCTCTTGTGACTCTAAGAGTGCATTTTTGTCTTCGAGACAAAACAAATGCAAGGTGCATTTCTGCATACTTCCATAGAGTTGTAAAATAATCCTTAATATTAGAATATTTTTATGTCACGTAGCAAAAGAGGTTCAGTTGGCCGCAGTGCCGATCATTGCCCTGCCGTTTGCGCCGCCCTGGCATCCACATCACCCCCTTCCCTCCCGGGCTCAGTAACGCAGGTGCCCAAAGCTCTGTAAATGAAGCTGTCACTCACCCTGTCATGAAAATCCGGATTTCGAATTTCCCCCTGAGCAAAGATAGAAAAGGCATCCCTTTGAGGAGGAAAGTGGTTAACACACGTACTGAGCTCCTAAAGTTTAAAATTCAGGAACGTTGTGTACAATTTCATCAGCATCTTGACCCATGAAACTTACATCCCGTGCCAAGAAGCTGCTGGTTCTTGTAGGGAACAGTGTCTACCATTTGCAGATTCAGGTATCAAGAAGCGGAGATCCCTCAAACAGCACTTTACTAACAGCTTCACCTCTTGTACAGTGTCTGCATTTAATGACATCAGCTCACTAACAACATCGTATTTATCTTCGCAATTGTCTGATGTAAACTAGTGCCATTTTTCATCACATGTATTTTGCTTTACATTTTTTAGTACCTGGTGAGGGTGATCATTTTTCCCTAACCTAGTTAGTTAATAATTGCAAAAAAAGAAAAAAAAAAATTGACAAGCAAGGTGATGGAAGGATGTGATGACAATCTCTCTGCCGTAGCTTCTTTCGGTTTCTATGAAATATCCCAACTCGTTTCTTGGGGAGTAGGTTGGGTCCGATAGCGATAACCAAATGACTTGCCAATGTAACTGGTGCAACTGGTATTCTACAAAGACATAAGGGACACATAGACGATTCCTTCTAGGATAAGATGACGCTTCTTTCACTAGCTTTTGTGGTAGGCGTGGCTTCTAATAGCAGTTGATTGACAGTTATATAAATCCTGCCTATATATCCAACTTCTTACACCATTCTTCGAAATAGCAATGTTATCTTTATACTCTCCCTTCTTCCATTTTTGATTCAAAAGAATTGACAATTTTGTAGGATCACATAAAACCCTCTGAATTGTTCAGTGAACTGAAGCACCATGTAATAGAAATGACTTTTTGGAAGGAAAAAGGCTGCGGACACATGGGAGAGCTTCCTAAGGAAACTAGGAGCTAGAGGTGGTGAGATGTTTCTGTTGTATATGAATCTTTTAGGGGTAAGGGACAGGCTTTCATTCTATTCTATGTGTCTCTGTTTTGTTCTCGGTGCCCATTTATTGGAAAAGAAGAGCAAACACACAGAGTTTCTGCAAATTCAGAATAGGCGTGGATGCTTTGAACTTTACATAAATTATGCATTAGAAAGGGCACATCTGTACATTGTTCAATAAACTATGAACACAGAGAGAGAATAACTGTTTTAAAAATTAAAAATAGCAAAGGAGCACATACTCTCTTCTGGAGAAATCAGGTAAATGGTGCTATACAAGAAGTTAGATATTTCATCTTAATTATTTGTAAAAATAATATTCGATGATTAGATAAAGGTATTAAAAGTCAAGAAAAAGACCTTAAGGCTTAAGCCAACCAGATAGCAGTGACCTCAATGTTGGTTTGTTCATGAAGGGTTTGGACTTTAAGATGTACTAACAACTAGAAAACTAAAGATACACAATACCCTACAGTTTACTCCCAGTTATTATTTTAGCTCGAGATACCTAGGACATTTGCTAATCTGTCACACGTAGCATCTGGAGCTAGCCTGTCCACTATTATAGTCACTAGCCAAACACAGTTACATAAATTTAAATTAAATAAGAATTCAGTCTTCAGTGGCCACAGTGGCTTGTGGCTACCACATTGGACAACACAGAACATCCCCATCATCACAGAAACGTATATTATGTGGTGCTACAGAAGTCTTTCCTTTCAGTTCCATCTCCTTGAAGAAGGAGGATGAAGGGAAGACTTAGTTGTTGGCTACATCTAAGCATTTAGATCTCAGAGAGGCATGATGGAGTAATAGGAAAAACAAAAACAAAAAACAAAACAAAACAAAAAAACAGATCCCATTAACCTCCATGAGTACCAGTTTGCAATTTGGGGAAATTAAAATATCTTTATCCTATCTTCATTGCAAGATTATTATGCTGCAGATCGAATAAATGTTCAGAGGTACAGACTTTGAAGACCTTCCGTCAATGCAACCCCAGTAAAGCACAGCTGTGGGTCCAGTCCCAGAACACATTTGCATTAAGAGGAAGAGAAGTTTGTCAATCCTCAGAGCATTCAAGGGCAATCAGATCAATACATTTCTTGAGAAAATGCCAAAGGAGAATACATTCAAACCACACAGCAAAAATGCTTTGTTTCTTTTTTCCCACCTCAATATTTTCTCTTCTTATTTTCTCTGCATGACATCTCTCCCAACGACCTGTCCTCTCCCATGCCAGAGTCCCCTGTGTTCATCCGTCAACTGGCTCGGTTCTTCATTACATAGTCATTTAGTGTCTCCAGTTTCTTCTGATTTCCCAGTTTATGCTTCACAGCAAAAAGGAGCCCAGGAGGTGACCAGCAGGCTTCTTTTTAGAAGAAATACTTAAAACACAAATAACTTTAAATTTTTATTTCATTCCTGTAACACAAATGTGAGGGGCTGTTGCATTCAAATATAAGTATGTGGGACTTGATTTTCATTGTAAAAATTTGCAAATGAAGACTATATTAAAGAATAAAATTAAATTATGCTAATATGTAGATACTATGTATTCTTGGATTAGTATAATTTATTAAGTTTTTGGAAAAAAAAACATTCTTGTTATTTCCTCATTCTGAAAAGGTGTCAATTGGGTGATGCCCCTAGCGTCTGTTGTACATTTGAGAACAGAGTTTCTAGAAGCCATATTGTGTTCAAGACACTTCCATTCCATGATAAGAAATGAATATTTATATAAGATTCACTGTGGTTATGGTTTCTTCCGCCTGTGAAATGTTATTTTGCTTTGTCTTTCTTCAGACATTTGCAGATATTTTATGACAGCATGGTTTCCTGATTTCCACAGCATGCTCTTGCTCCTTCTTTCTCATCCCTGCCCCTGCTCTGGGTGTCGGCACCTGTCTGCCAGAATCCTGGGAGGTCATGTAATCCAACTTTTTCATTTCACAGATCAGAAAATGGAGGCATGGAGAGAAAAGTAATTTTCCCATTGTCAGATCTAGGTCTTGAACTTGGAACTCCCGTCAGGTTATTTTTGTTTCGGTTCGCCTTGCCTGCACCCCTTTGGCAGTGTGCAAGGTCAGCCGAGCAGCTCAGAAGACAGAGTCCCTCCGAAACCAGCTGTGTGCTCTGTGACTGCCTACCTGTCCTTAGAACAGTGGCCCACTCTTCCTCTGTCATGGTGCTGTCTCATGAATGGTGCCGTTTTAGTAACAGCCAGTGACTCCCAGTTCTAGCTATTACAGGGTCTTTATTTGTTTTTGCAGATTCCTTTACTACCATTCCTGCCTGTAGTTAGGTTATTTCTCTATTGCTATTGAAATTTTTTCTGCCTGTTCTGTTTTTTTCCCAAATGTACCTGAAAATGAATAATCTTCATAGCAGGTTTTCTTACCATTTATATAATCAATTTTCATTTGCTTTGTAAACTGTCTGAACTTTTTTGCCGTAAGAAGGTTTTTTTGTTTTTGTTTTTGTTTTTTTTTTGAGCAAATATTATATTGGTGGCATTACCTATTACATATATATTGTAATATTGTGTTTGTAAAGCACTTTACATTTTAAAGAGCACTTTGATTCATTCCTTTATTTGTTGATTCATTCCACCACTCAATCAACTTGAATA